GGGGGGGGTTGGGCGCGCGGCCCCCGCCAATGCAGCCGCCTTTTGGATTTGGCGAGAGCTCAAATAAACACCAAGATGAATTCCTCTTTTCTCCCAGTGTTCCCTCGTATAGCAAACACACATTTACGGTGCGGAAGTGAAGGAGAGCCACCGTACACAGCCTACAGTGTTCCTGCCGCACTGCACGTTGGCACGTGCCTGCATTTCTGCACATTTCTGTATAAGTTGTAGCCAATTCCTGGCCCTGGAAGTTCAGCTCAGTTCAGTGCTTTTTAAATGTCACTACTTTTCTTTTACTTTTCTGTCACTTGTTGATCCATTTTCTCATCTGTTGGTTTTCTCTTATCCTTCAATTTCTCTCATTAGTGTCCTGGTCCTGTAAGGCCAACCTGTGGACACCGACCATTAAACTGAAGGTCCTATTTATATAGAATAAATAAGTAAGTTGATTACCGTCACCCTTTAGCCCTTCTTCCCACCTTTTCCACTCTCAGGTGGGCGGTGGGCCCCAGTGGAGTCAACACGCTTCCATCAATAAGCTCACGTACACATCTTTAATCTGTCTATAGAGTTCACATCCACACTGAACAGAGAACCCTCTTTTCCCGACATCATCCCACTTCACTCCACTCCACCCAGCCCTGCATTCCACTATACACCCCCCTCCATCCTCCTCCTCGACAGACACACACTCACACACCGAACAAGCCGTAATTCAGCGGCGAGGTTCAGCCTGAGGAAAGGGACGAAGAGCAGGGAATCGTTTTGTACAGAGTTTTCTACTGAACTGGACAAAGTGCAGATCAACTGAGTGTTTGTGTTACGGTGCTGGTGGGAAAAGATGAAAGCCCTGAGATGGTGTTCTGTGGACGGAGCGGCTTCTGTTCAGATTGTAGGTGAAGACATAACACACACACACCGAGGCTCACACAGATTATGTAACCTGGTTTTAGCACCAGACTGGACCAACACCAACAGCAAAATATGACAGAATGACGAGGCAAATGTAACCTGTAAAATATCTGTGGCCTGACAAGGTATTTCACACAGGTATGTATAAACAAGACTGAGATCTCCGTTTAGAGACTTGAGAAAACTGTTAAGTGTAATTCGAAAGTGAAAAAGCACAGACTGAGGAACTGCAGGCCAAGACGGAGTCCAGCTCTGGTGAAGACATATTCAAGACAGGCTAAAAGGTTCTCAGGAGCAAGAAAGGTAGAGGGATATATGAACAACAAATATATAAACAAGCAAAAAACAAGAGCAGACAAAAAAGAAGTTGAGGACGGACTAAGACCAATATGTAGAAAAAAGTAAAATACTGGAAACTGTTTAGAAAGAACTAGAACTTTTTGTTGTTAAGGATAGAAAAAGATGGGACATCAACACAATTACAAACACAGACGAGATGTCAAGAGATGCCTACTACTCATAGTGGAAACACACAATTTGTTCAGTTTTGACACAACATGGATTTTTTTGGCCTTAAAGACGTAAAAGAAGAGGAGCATGACCCAAAGAACACCAACCCCACAGGCAAACACAAAAGATGTTGATGATCATGAAGGTGTAAACCTCAAGGAGTCAACAACAACAGGTGACCTGACGACCCCTGAACACATCACCAGGAGCAGTGTTCAGCTACTGTATTAATTCACCAGCGCTCTACTGGCCAATAAATGAAAGACCATTTCTGTAGTAACACAAACCCATCCAGTTGGCTGAGTCAGGCTCACTCATTCTAAATGCCATCTGTATCCTCGGTTCTCCTTATCCATTAACCATTAGGTTTGGGGGGAAACAAATACAGAAATCGAACATAGAGACAGGGCATGTTTGCTCCTTCACTGAAAAAGGAAATGTTCCGGTAAGTCGCCTTCCACTGCCAACACCCCAACCACCCTAGGAGCTCAACCCCACAGAGTATTTGTCACAAATGTCCTGCCAGACCCACAGAGAAAAAATCTAGCACATTTACAAACAAAATGCCTTCATCTCAGCCACACAGCATGACACAGTTTTTCTTTCTTTTTTTGCAAAACCACATTTAAATAATACTGTTTGGGGAAAGTACTCAGTGGGGTTACATGAGCTATTTTATCACTGTTTGTCAACATCTAAATATCCAAACCTATTTATTTTACACTATAAATTCTTGATAAATTCTCCACAGCATCCCATTTGGATGCAGAGTATATTTGGTTTGTTTTTCCATCACAAACAAACTAAAAATTAACGTCCTCATTTTATTTAGGCCACTGAAGCGTAGAATCTGTAAACTCTGCTCTGTATTCGTCTCTTCACCAACATCGATTTTTTTTTACAGTCATATCAGCAACTCCATGAATTGACTGACTTGAAGCAGTTCCAGTTTCTCCCTTCTCTATCCTAGGCTGCACACTTGTGAGCGCATACTGTGAAAGACTTTGGAAAAACTGCAAAAAAGTAGCATTTGGCCACATCCATAAATATTGAAACAAGTTCCCTTTCTTTGGATCTCAGAATACTAAGTAAATATTGACCTGGAGGGACTGCAGCATCCCATACCTGTGCACTCACACATATCAACATACATGCGCACACACACACACACACACACACCAGAGGACAGAGCTGTGCTCAGAGCGCTCTCTGTTCACACCAGGCAAGTCCTGGAAAAATTAATTACCAACTTGAACCTACAAGAAACCCTCCCCGGTTACATGTAACTTCACTGACACACGAATGTGAAAATCTGAAACATATGGGCAACACAGTCAGAGAGGAAGGGGGAGAGAGGGAGAGAGAGAGAGTAGCTACAGCTACTGTCTACATATACCAAACGAAATATTATTGGCTTGGCTAACTGTTGACAATCCTATAATGAAAACTTTTTCCATGTTTTTTTTTTATAACGGGCGTGGACAAGACATAAGACTACGTCTACAAAATTCATTTTACCCATAAAAACCACACATGCTGCTCAAGGACGTCATCCCACATCTAAGAATACGAACCTAGAAAACACTGGGATAGTTATGTACATTCAGTGGCTCAGAATCACCAATACTCAGTAGAGTTTCTTTTTTAATACTTCAAAAACAAACCCAGGATTAGGCACAAGATGGAATCGAACCTGTAACCTTCTTCATGTGGTGCGACGTGTCTTAGCATAGACAGGGATTCAAACAAATGTATTTAAGAACATGTTTTCCAACAACACCAGGCAGTAGGACCGTAGGCTGATTGAGTGACAGTGCAGAGGTCTGCAAATTAACAGGGTGTTTGGGGGATAAAAGTAAGGTTCAACCTCAGTGTCAAACGACTCCTGAAGTGTTTTTTTTTACATCAGAATAAGTGTAGTCTGGGGTGGTCTAGTGTTTGGAGTCAGGTGAGTGGACATGATAGTTTCACAGCGATGGGTTTCAGGATGAAAAAGGAAACTGTGTGTGTTGTACTAGCTGTGATTAGAAGGATTTGTGCTGAAGGTTTAGAGGATTTAAATTGGCCCATGGCGTTTTGGTTTTGGAGGGGGGCTCGGGAATTGGCCTTTTCAATATGCGTACTCGCAAAGATAGAGGTACAGAGCGCCTGTGTGTGTGTGTGTGTGTGCTGCACTCCTCCTGCCAACAGTAACAGTTCAGTAGCCAGTGAACAGGAAGAGAGGTTCATTAAAAACCCAAATGCAGCAGTTACATAACTAACAGTTCTGTTCATCCCAGAGCCCCCTGTGCTGCAAACACACTCCTCCTTCATCCCCTTCTTCTCCCTCCTACGCCTGCTGGCAGAGCTTACCCATCATCCTCTCCTTCCCCCACTGCAACAACTCATCTCAGCTCTCCTGTCTGCCTCCTCAGATCAGCTCACTGCATCACTCCTCAGTCTCCCCTGCTCCTTTATCTGCTCCCCTGGTCCCTGCCACCTCCTTCTAGTTGGCTTCAAACACTTGCTTCTTCCCTTCACCCCCATGCTCCATGCTTCACTTCAGACTTTACGTTTATATACATGGCAGGGCTACAAAGCAGGGATATTAGCCAAAGTTAAACAAGAAACTTTTGGCGGTGCTCAGACTAGCAGGAAGGAAGAGGAATGACACACAGGTCCCAGTTGTCTGTTCTAGTCTCAGGAAAATGCCTTCAGCTCTTCTACAGATGGAGTTTCTTCTGGGGATTCTCTTTCCACAAACCCCTGCAACCGACTCGCATACTAAGAATAAAATCGGCAGAAAGTGCAGTGAGTGTGTAGGCACAGCAGATGGCAACACAGATTTAAAGATCTGGGACTGTCTTCTGAAAATTCCTCTACAACAAAAACAACTTTTCACATCTTCCTTCTTTGGTGTAGACTGTCACATTGATCCCAGCGTCACCACCAACGCACAGAGTGACATCTGAGACACCCGACAACACAAAAATACGCCGCAGTCTGCAGGAAAGGCAGTGAGGAACAGTGCCTCCGTGTGGTTAAAACACATAAATACACATAAAATGAGTCATACAGTCGAACCGTTCAGTTTCCATAACAAGGCACTGTAACGGCGGACCGTGGACAAATAAATTTAGATTAGTAAATACGATGATCAATATTGAAGCAGAATACTGTGTTTTGGAAGTAAGTGGTGAGTTCTTAAACAATTAAAAAGATTAGCTTCCAGATCAAGACAGAGTCAAAGGAACTGGTTTATGTTTATATAAATACACACACTTTTTTGTTTGATATCTTAATGTTCTGCTACATTAACTTAGTATAGAGTTTGGTGCCTATCATCTTTTCATCCTATTGTCAGCCTAAGTGAATGTTTTCCCTTTACATATACTGTAATCACCATTCTAATACCTCTGGCATCACACCGACAACCAAATCTACCATTAACACATCTTTTACAAATATTAACCATTTTTTTTGTTTGTTTTTTTAACCAAGGCTCATCCTGGAATGTCTGTCTTTACATTTTAAATCACACTTAAATATGAAACAAAAAAAATAATGCTTTAGGATATCACTTTGTCGATTTGTCGACAGCTCCGTCGTATCACCCATCCACACAACAAACCTACCTGTTAAATTAAATTATAAAACTTTGACATAACACAGAACTCTTCAGGTCACAGACTTGATGTCTCACACAAACCTATATATGTAATAAAACACATTTCTCTCCCTGAAACACTTTGAAAGAAACTAGCTAAATACTTGAAAGAAACACAAACACTTCAAAAATGTGTGGGGGAGAAGTCACAGTGGAAGTGGCTCTGAATCTCTTGGGGGCTTTCATACTCAATCTTGACACAAGGGGGCACTGGAGGACTTTCTGGGGAGGCAGGGCTGACCTGGGAAGGTGACAGCGATGCGCTCTCCCCTCTGAGGTGTGAAGGACGCAGTGTGGACACAGGTGGGAGGATGGTGGTGGTAGAGGTGGAGGTGGAGGTGGTGCTGTTGATGGTGGTCGATGGTTGAGCATGTGCAGAAAGCGGGGAGTGTTCCTGTGAGACAGCGAGATCCCCTTGGGGGTAAAATGGAGGGAAGTGCAGGTAGGTGGAGGAGGGGGGCTGTGGCTCTCTTGAAGCACCCATGCTGGCAGGTAGAGATGAAGGGCACTGAGTTTGCTGGTACACGGCTGACTGGCTGTACAAGTTACCCCAGGGGTGGGACTGGTACGCTGTGATCCCACCTGCAGGGCAACACACCCCCATTCAAACAGACATGACACTTGAGCTTTATTAAAGGTAATTCTGCAGAGGCTCAGCAGCTCCATCCCTCAAATGCATCTGCCTCCTTCATCCACTGCACAAATGGGCTAAAAATGATTAGCCCCCCTAAGAAGAAGTCTTTAAATTATGGTCCAAGTGAATTTATACAAAGGAATAGTGTTTTTCTGCTCAATTATTTAAATAATCTTTACATTGTTTTATTTACATGTTCTTACACTTGAGAATTAAATACTTTAGAATTAAATCCAATACATAAAATCTGTATGACTCACCATGCTGACCGGCAGACTGCAGCAGGATCTGTTCAGCACTTTGAGACTGGAAGTAAGAGTGCCCCCCAGTGGAGTACGTTACCACTCCTGTAGTGTTTCCTCCAGGGCCAAAGGTCAGGTAGGAGTTAGGGTTGGAATCTGGAGGATTTGGGGTGAGGTAGGGAGAGGGAGTGAGATAGGCCAGGCGGGGTAGCGTTGCTTGAGACTGGTTTTGTTGGCTGGACGAGAAGGAGGTGTGAAGTGGGAAAGAGAGACTGCTGCTTTGCTGGCTGGATGTCGGGTAGTCGAGCTTCTCCCCAAAGTCAAACAAAGAACTAGAGACAAACCAGAGGAAGAATGAGTCACAATCATCCTGACTGTTTGAGATGTGAAGCTGCCAACATTTAGGGAGGTTGAGATTTGTGCCTTATTCTTATTTCTAAGACCATATAACATAGCAAAAATACTGTGCCTGGTTGAACCAGTCAATAAGTAGCATATATCTGAGAAACATTTAGTTCATAAGAGTCCAAAAAACAAACTGTTCATTTTGAAAGACAATTCATTTGCACAATAGCCTGAAGAATATGAGCTAAATATATTATCTTAAAAGGTTAACAACAGTGCTGAAGTTCCCCCGACTGTTGCTTGTTGTCAGACAAGTCTTTGTGGATTAATCGCACTGTATAAGCTTTAGCCTTAAGTTACATCGGCATATGATCACAGGATTTTTCTTTTTTTTTTCTAATTATAAAATGGCGCATGGTATATTTTTAAAAAATATTTTAGGTTGCTTAGAATGACAACATGTTTTGTTTTTTATTCTTCTGTTTTTTTTACTGAATTGTATTCCTGGTCTTACACTAAGTAATTACTAACCATGTTTGTCACAGTTATCCTCTGAAGTGATTCAGAAGAGCAGCTGAAACTGACACCCCACTACTACATGCACTGCACGAGCCATCATTATATCAGCATTTCACAGGCTCCATCTCAGCCTCAGTCTGTCCTCCTGTCATCTCTCCAACACTGTCCCTGCACAAATCATCATCTAGTATTCATGTCGCGGTCTGCTGCTGTGAGCCTAGCTGACCTGATGTCCATCTGCAGGGACTGGGTGTCACGATGGGCTGAGGAGGAGCCTTCCTCCAGAGCATCAAGAAACAGGGGTAGCGTTACAGCTGGGGTGTTGAGCAGAGGTGCAGTGGAGTTGGCAGGGTTGTACATCATAGAGAAATTGGGAAGGCTGGCTCTCCGCAGGGGGGGAGGGCTGTGCATGGGACGAGGGTGGTAGTCCGTCAGCTCTGCCTGAGATGAAAGCTGTTGCTGACTTCCTTCCCTCACTCTGGACTGACCTTGGAAATTGAATTCACAGATTAAACACTCAGATTAAAGGGATTCTGCGGTGTGGTTCCTGGGGAATTTAAACAACTTAACATGCAGGTTGACGGTTCACTCAGCACTCCATGTGAACTCAGCTCAAACACAAACTCTTGGGTTTTTGGGGACATCAGAACTTTTTTTCTTCTCTCAAGTTCAATCGTCAGACTCAGTTATACTAATGAAGTTCTCTTTTATATATAAGTAAAAGTGTAGTAGCAGTTTGTACAGGTGAAAACTGCAGTGCCTTTAAGGTAATGTAGGAGTAATATCTGACCTGTTTCATTAATGTTAAACATCACAGCAGTATTTTTTACTGATTGGCCTGTAGGATAAATTAGGTCAAGATGTGCTTAGAACTCCCTCTGCTGGATCACACAGTAACTGCTTTAGACAGCCTGAGACGTCAAAGGGATTAAATTGCATAGAAATCTTTAGCTCTGCATTTAAAGAGTTCATTTAAAAGCCACAACCCAGACAGATTGGTTTTCAATATATTTTTTAAACTGATTCTTCTCTACTTTGTAATGTTAATGTAAGCTCAATAAAATATTGACTGTCTAAACATTTTTGTTGTAGTTTTTTTGAAGACAGTGTTAATTCTAATTCAATCTAAAAACCAAAGAGTCCATTGGAGCAAATGTCTTCACAAAATAAAATACAGACTTGACGGACATGTTCAAAATGAACGAGGTCTTAATTATCAGAAAAAAACAACATAAATGCAGCTGTTTCATGCCCAAACAAAACTAAGAATGTGCTGTCTTCATGACACAGTGTTTTTCTGGCAGGTGGGACTAAATCACACCGCTAAAATGTGAGCTACTTGCATCCTGTTTTCTGGATAGCACTGTGTTTTTGTGCTGGAGCCGTCTGTGTTGGTGTTCCTGCTGCACCAAGTCAGTGGCCTCGTTAAAATTTGTATGTGGGTGTCTTTTTATTTTTGCAGCTAAACACAACCCCAGACTGAGATGCAACAACCAGGGTCTCTATGTATAAATACTTAGGTAAATATAGTCATTTCATGACAAGTCAGCTAAACCCTCATCAACTAAAAGAAGAGTACCAGGGCTGGACAGCAGGTGGCTGTAGGAGGTTGAGGTCTGGTTGGACAGGGTGTTGTAAGAACAGGCTTCCGAGGGAAACTGGGGCAGTTTGTCGGTAAAATGTCCAAGAAAACAGGAAGTTCCGTTGCTGTGAAGGAAAAAAAAGTCACCAATAAGTTGTGGATTAGTATTTCAACAGTCTTCTTAAATAACAGATAACACACAGAACTGAAGGAGATTAGTGACCTGTTAGATGCCAGTGTGGGTGGCATATGATTAAACTGTGGGGGGCTGCTGGTGAACTCAACTTTGCTCTGTTTGTGTTCAGCCTTCATCGTGATAGAGCGCTTTACTTTCCTCCACTTAGCCCTGCGGTTTTGAAACCAGACCTGGCAGAAAAGGATACGATAAACACATCACTTAGATAAAAAAAAAAAACAACTGACCCTGAGAGAAAAGATGGGGAAAAAAGTAAGATAAGTCTGTAGTTACTTAGGGAAAAAATGTCAATCAAATGAAAATGAAAAACAATGTTTGTTTCACCATTATTCTCTGAGGGGTGACACCAACTGACGCAGCAATCACTTTCCTCTTCTCTGCATCAGGGTAGTGGTCCTCCTGGAACAGGGCCTCTAAGTGCTCCAACTGATCTGCATGCACACACATGCACAGGCTGAAAGCTGGTCAAATATTACCATAGTTAAATATGAACACACCTGGACAAACAGGCAGGGTGGTTACCTGTGCTGTAGAGCGTTCGTGTTTTCTTCTTGGGTGCAGGTGGCAGCAGGCAGCCGTCCACCGTCTCCAGCTCTGACAACAGAGGGAAACTCATGGAGTGACGCTGGCCCCTGGCACTATAGCGAATGGAGCGTCGGGTGGAGTAAACCTGGGTTATCTCCATCTGTCGTCAAATGCGTCACATTTAAAACTGTGCTCACCACTGTGGCTGTGATTTCCTCTTCTCATTCTCTTGTGATGGACGTTATGATATTTTGCATAGACTTAAATCAGCAAATAGAATGAAAGTAGAATTTACATTTTGAGTAAAGTAACAAAGTAACACAAAAGCTTTGCTATTTCTAAATTCATATTTTTGTTGTTGTTCCTATATTTTTCACATTTTTTAAAATATTATTATATACAAATGTATTCAGAGATTTTTGCACTTTAAACTAGTCTCACCTCTAGAGACTGAGGCCCCTGCTGGGGCAGACTGTGAGACAGCAGGGGACTGGGAGGTCGTTTTGTCCCCTGAGAAGGAGGAGGTGCAGGCTGGATAGTGACCGGAGTTTGTGAGGAGGAGTAGAGCAGTGGGATGGGAACAGTTGCTCCATACAAGCCTGTTGCTCCACAGCCTAGGTAAATGGGGTCGGACACATCACTGCTGTTCATCAGTCCAAAAAAAGGCTCTGAGAGAGCCGAGCTCACCTTGGAGCTCTGCACTGACACTTCCTGTGCCTCACACCTCTTTTTTCCCTCCAGTTTCTCACCTCCATCTTTCACCCCCCTCTTGTTTCTAATTCGCTCGCTTTGTTTCCTTCCTCGCCTCTTCTTGCTCTTTTTCTGCTCCACTTTTGATTCTCCGCACGGTTGCTCGTCGGACTTCCTTCCCTCATCACCGTCTTTCCTACTGTCCTCCCTCTGCACCTCCTGGTTCTTGTCCACCTCCACCCTACTGAGTGACTTCGTCTTACCTTCACCCTGTGCAGCATCACAGTCCTTCTCAGAAACTCTCTTTTCGTTCCCATCTTGCTCTGTTTCTTCCTTTGCCTTTTTTCCCCTCCTCTCATTAAACACCTGCTCCTCTTCTTCTCTCTTCCTCTTCCTCTTCCTCTTACTTCTCGGCGCTCTCTCTCGTACATTGCTTGTTTCCAGAGGCTCCTGTTCATCACAGAGAAGATTCGGACAGTCTGCAACAGAGTGAAGTGAAGTGAGAGGGTGTTCACTCATGTACACCCTGAACCACTTTCAGTGTAGTATGTGCACTCAAACGTTCTCGATTTACACCGAGCATGAATTTTACAGAGCAGGGAAGCTAATGACTTTCCTTAGCAAACAAAAAAACAAAAGACCTAATCATTAGACCTGCTTTGAGTTAAACATTGTAGTTTATTAACCAAGAGACACCATCGAGTCAGACTGAAGTCTGCTGAGGACAACAAACTATAAACCCTTGGCTGTAAGGAAGTTTATATCTGCAGGCAAATAAGAGAAGCATACAGTACAACGCTTTTGGCAATGCTGCAGTGCATCCACCTTTGGGAATGTTCAGGTGGTAAAGGATATATGAAGAAAGAAACCCTTTTGGAGAGAACATTAAGCTGTCAGCAGCAAAACGGGTCCTGATCGTTATGTTGTCTTCCAAAATGACAAGGATCTGAATCATACTTTAACACTGGTGGAAAAAAAAAATCACAGACAGGAAATCTATAAAATCCACTAAAGATCGGGATTTAGGGCAAAGGATCAACAAGACCAAAGAATTAGGAGATTAAATAATAACAATTGGCTGGATAATTCAGGAGAATTAATAAAGGTTCTAAGAATTCTAAGATTCTAAGATTTTTTTATTAGTTTTGTCCGCAAATCATTCAAAGTTTCTCCTCGAAAATAATGACTTCACTATTACAGTTTGTGCAAAGTTATAGGCTTTCAGACAATTGAATAAAATACGTATTTTTAGTATTATATTATATTATTTAATGTTTATGTCTACGTCGACTGCGGTGAACATCCACTTCCTGCTCGGCCTACAGAGAGTTCATTACAGTCCCAGCTGTGCAGGGCTGTTTCCTCACCTGGCCTTTAATTAACCGCGGCCCACTAGCTGCTGCTGCTAACCCTGCTAACCCTCCTGTCCCCGGCTACAAACAGCAGGTCGCCAATGTTAATAACACAGTTTTTAATTCCTAAATTATGTCTGCATAGCTAGAGGGCAATGAGGAACTGAACGTCACAGTGAAAACAAATGGGCCTTAAATAGACTTTAAGAGTTTTAAAAACTTCTTTAAACGCTACCATAATTTGTGACGCTTGAAAAGAAAATGGCTGAAAAACAAACAAATATCAGCATATGTGTCCTTACCAAAGTCTTCCGCTACTTCTTCATCCATTACCAACGTCTTCAAAACCAATAAACTAACCAATAAACGGGTCCTAACAATCAATTAACCGCTTCGTAACACGAAACGAATTACTCCAGGACCAAAGGATAATGAGGTTGATTGATTGATTATCACTTTTCACCAGCGTGAAGGTTGAACCTGAATCAGCCAATCAGAGAGCAGATGAGGTGCACAAGCTGAACACCACCGGAAAGATGGCTGCCAAACAGTCAGTGACCACTTTATTAGTACACTTTATCTGTTTTACTTCTCCCTACTTTAAATATGAAATTAGCCAATAACATAGCGATACCTACATATAATAAAGTATATGTACATGATAAAGAGGACCTGCAGGAGTTTGAATTAAGCATAAAAACGAGGTTATTTAGCTAATTTGAACTATTTAAACAAGTCTTGAACCGTTTTTAATTAGGTCCCAGGCAGTAAATAGTAAAGGTAATGATGCAGTGTCTATCTGTTAGGATTTTTTCACTCCATCAACTGTAGATAAGAAACAGACGGAGCTTTGCCATTGCTAATGTGAAGCTGCAGAGGTCAGTTGGGTTGTGTTTAAATGTGTGACAAATTAGACAATGTTTCTTCGATTTATATCTATAGTAATATTCATTTCATGGTCTTAATTGTAGGTTCAAGTTCTTCCTCATTAGAACAAGGGAATTTTGTGTACGTAATGACTACGTGTGGATATAAATGGAAAATTTTACAAAAGTTTATATCACACTCATGGATGTGTCAATTGTAGTTGTTCCTGATGCAGCCAGCAGATGGGGTAAGAGCTGGACTCCAATCTGTAAACCCTGATTGAAGGGGCCAAGGTTTTGTTCTCATGTCTTCTCTTCTTTTAACAGAGGAGGTCTCTTCCCCCCTCGTCCTTTGTGTAAAGATATATTACTGACACCGAGGCCCCAGGCTCAGACAGCCTGTTGTCTTCTCTGGGACGGGTATGGCCGTCTTTAGACTCCCTTTTCTCAACCAATGACCTCGGTCTCATCTGGTGCTGCTGTTAGGAACCTAAACCTAACACCAATTTAGGAAAACTCTCCTCTCCTGTGTGCGAACAAATCCCTAAAGACACTTTTATATAATTACTTTATAAATACATACTCATGCAGTGACTTTAGAATCATAACATCTCAGGCTGTTTCTCCCTGGGGGCTTTACTGAGTTCAGCAAGTGTAAATGGGCTGTTAAGCGGCTGCGATCGTACCTCTGCACATGCACTTACACACAGTGGTTTCCTCAGATGTAGCACTGAGGCGTACGGGGGTTGCGTGTAATGTCAGTGGGTTAGAACTGGTATGTAGGCCATGCTAATGCTGGTGTGTGATAACACCAGAGCGAGACTTCATGTCTCCTTGTGAGTTTTTCTGAACGCATGACACTAAAATATATTCCTCATGTCAGCAGTCTGTTTTTACCTACTGCTTTCACCAGTGAACAAAACCTGCAGCTCACGTTTGGGTGGAATTCAGGCCCCGGAGGAGATTTCATCATTAAAAAATTACAAAAATATATATATATTTTTCACAAGCCTCACTCAGCCATCCTAATAGTTTCCATTTTATTAGTACAGGGTATGTGTCTTTTGAGATTTCTTTCTCCACACCGGCAGAGTAGACAAATGGAATTTCATTTGTAATGCTCACAGCACTGGAGAATAAATAATTCAACAGTCGTCTGTCTTTCCAGCAACAAGCTCCTGCTTACTTTGGATATTACTGTATGAATATGAACACGGCAACCTGTTTTCTCTAAGAAAAAAAACCTACTCATATACTGTAATAGGTCAGAGATGTGCTTTCAAGATTTTGTTTACAACTCCAGGAGCCATTTACTCCCATTGACAAACACACCCACATGCTGCATTTACATGCAGCAGTTCTACTTTAGCATATTCTTCATTTCCATTCAAGTGCCTCCACGAGCTACTTGGGGTTTAGTGTTTTCCTTAGGGTTTTGCTGAAGAGACTCATTTCCACTTAAAATAATCCCCACTCTTCCTACGGCATCTACAGCCGACCTGCTCAATTAAATGATATTATAGGAACTAATGTATATATTTTTGGTTTTAATAAACTTTATTAAAACTTGAATAGTTTTGTAATTATCATAATTCTGCCGTTCTTCTGTGTTTTGGAAACTCTCCCTAATCTATACATCACTGTCCTTGTACAGGATCTCAGGATTACAGCCCCGTCACGACCAGCTTTTTGGCCCATCAGTCAATAACACAGGCTGACAAACACAGACGAGGAGTCGTGAGTGATCACACCTTCAATCACCTTCAGGAAATCCCACTATCAATAAAAGCCTGAAGAAACTAGTTCATGACATGTGCTGCGTTTTCACATTGGTTGTACATGAGAAAGTAACATATATACTTGAATATAAATATATTACTTTCCCATGAAAGTCTCACTTTTCTGGATTTGATTTTTAATGGCAGCTCCACGTTCGTTGGATTGTTCCTACCTAGTGGTGTACTGGGTCGAACACATGCAAAGATGGACGAAAACAGACACGGAGTAGCATCCCTGCTAATGAGCATTGCAGCATCTTTGTAAGGTGATCCATCAAAATGACTGTGGTGCTGTAGTTTTTTTTTTGTGGCATTTTCCTTCATAATTTATCATCCATTCTAGATCAATAAATCACTGCAACAACGAAAAATATTCTGGTTGTAATTTTTTTTTAAAGATTAGTTTGACAGATATAAAAAGACCATGGGAGATATTTTATCCAATCAGGTTTTTTTTTTTATTTGGAACAGAGTGGCAGATTAGTGACAGGGCGGTGGCTCGGAGGATCCGCCTCCTTTCGCTCACTCAGCCAATGACAGAAACTCAGCCTTAAAAAATGCAAATGTATAAAAACAGGAATGGGAACAGCAAACAGAGTCGTGTGGCCTTCATAGGCTTCACACTCACACACACACTCACTTCTACAGCCACACATACATACATACATACATACGCTCACACATACACATACCCTCTCACCCCCTCCCTCTTCCTCACATACACACATTATTTGGCTACGCAGGCTTTTATGGGTACAAACACACGTTTACGTTTCAGTCACTTTAGAAAAGACAGTTCATGTGTGAGAGAGTGGCCTGTCGTCTGTCCATCGCTCTGAAGGACACAATCAGTTACAGACAGACAGATGGTGCAGATACATAGTCAGTGTGTGTGAAAGCCACGGCGAGGGTGGAGTCACCCCACATTCAGCAGTAAAGTCAGTCAGTGTACACAAGAGTCTGCTGTGAAATACCAAGGTGAAACAGTCACTCACACACACACGCATACAGGTGACAGGTTTAGATGATGTGTAGACACACACATATTCTCATACTACTGACAGGGTGGACAAAATTCACACTCACAAACACACACTCACAGGAAGAAGAGGTGCGTTACCTGTCTGTGGAAGAGGGTGAGGAGTAAACAGTCCAAACAACTGAGTACTGCTGCACACACACCTCTGGACCACAGTACATTCCAACTTTCTCTCGCTCCTCTTTTCATCCCATACACACTCTCACACTCACACACACACAAACATAGGTATACTTTTGACTCCCATGCATTTTTGTTCTACAGTACTGAGTATAATAGAAGCTACTAGCCCAGTCGCACTGGTGTGGTTATTGTTACAATCTCTTAGATAGAAGCACAGTCCTCCTCATCACAAACCCAATCCGAGGCCCAGTTTCCAGCCGAAAGTTGACACCCAAAAAAAAAAAAAAATACTGATTCAAAGCCAAATGATGTTGAAACATTTATAAAGTTAAAAAAAACCCTTACCATTTGCACATTAGTTTAAACTGGGGGATGAAAGTTGAAAAGTTGTTACCACCAGTCCAGCAGAGGGCCCTCTAAATGCAGCCTCACCTTTGCCCATCAACAAAATAAGGCAGTTGCCAAGTTGCATTTAAATTTTTGCAACTGGTCACAGAAAATTCAGGAAGCTATTTTTGCACGAGCAATTTGAGTTGACAGGCAGGCGACGGGAAGATAGTGCAGTTGTTAATACGTAAAAAAAAAAAAAAATGGAACTAACAGTAAAATCCACCACTTAGAATGGTTCTTCTGATTTTCAACTTCTGATTTTGACTAAAGTAGAGCATTTTGAAGCAACTTTCCGCACGGACATACACTTCCTGATTTAGAAATTCCGCCCCTCCCTCCCCTCTTACGCTTCCTCCGTGGCCCCTTCCACGCCCAAACAGAGGGCCAGTGGTGGAGGGAAAACAAAGTGAGCCATGCAAAGTGGATGTAGATAATGGATGACACGATGCAGGAGATCAGAGGGGGTAGGGGGGCGGGGGAGGTTGTTTTCATCTGGATGAGGTGATACTTGGACTTGTAGTTGTGCTTTTATACAAACAGACCAAACTCTAAACCAACAGGCAACTGAATCATCAACTAAACAGTGACATACTGGAACCACTCAAACTTGCTCGTATCAAAAGTGATGGTAATCACAATGACCATGATGACGATAACGATCGTGATGATGATGGCGTTGATATGTGTATTAGTGATATGATCTACAGTATATTTAAAGTTTAATGTTGTGTGTGGAAATGCACAGAAGGGTTGGACGTGTGTTGGAGTGTGTGCGCGCGTGCGTGCAGGTATCTGTGTGGTTGACGAGAGCACAGCTCATCTAACGTGATGATGAAGATGATGAATAAAAACTCTTCATGATCATGCAGATGGTTAGTGAAGCCGGAAAGGATACGATATTTACATATAAACCTTTTTTTTTTAAATGCTAAGTACACATCCTCCAGATGACGTATAATCATTATAATTATTATTATTATTTTATCACGGTTTGATTATTATTATTGTTCACCATCCAGCCCAAAACATTGATATATTATTGAATATTATTACTATCCATACCTATTCTTTGTACAGCTTAGAGGAGCAGAGTGTTTGGGGAGAAAACCTCAGCGTGACCTGGCCGTGTTTCCACGGCGGCTCCTCCAGGCCGTGGAACACGACAACGGTTGAGCACCGTTTTCTGGTTGGCCGAGCACAGAGAGAGAGGGAGAGGTCAGAGCCACCTTCGAGCACAAGTGTGTGTGTGTGTGTGTGTGTGTAAGCATGTATTCATGTGTGTTTGAATATGTGTCAGAGTGTCTGTGAGCACGAGAGGGATGGAAGGCACAAAAGAGACCTTTCCTCTCACCTTTGACCCTGTGACTGTGCAGCCAACCAGAGCTTGGGTGTGTTATATGGGGGGTGAGGGGCAGAGTCACCCATCACTCTTTATTATTCTTTTGTTTCTTCCCCAGCCCATTCCGCCCCTCTCCTCTCCTCCTTTTATCTGCTCCTTCAGACAGAGGAGGGACGTGGTGTGCTGGAGAACACAGGTTAAGCGCTTGTGTTTAGCTTTTTGTTTTGTTTCTCTTAATTTTTTTTTTTACAAAATAATCATATCATTACATACAGAACAAAAAAAAATCTGTAGAATATTAATAACAACATTTACTTTAAAAACATCTCGTGTGTAGGTGTTATTTTTTCCAGAATATATTTGGATTTTTTTTTTTTTTGTTCTCTTTTTTTTCATTTTCATTGAAAAGAAAGTTCCAAGAGAGAAAGGCGCTCTCGAGTGTTTTGGAGACGAGAGGAGAGAGGGATGACGAGAGGCGAGCAGATGAGAGGGGAGCAACAAAGAAGAGGAGGAGGAGGAGGGGGTCTTAGAGTATCTTTCTCTCTTCTCTCTCTCTCCGTCTTTCTCTCTCACTTGGTGTCTCTGTGGCATATATGTGTTACGCGTAAAACTCCTCCTGCTTGTCTGGTTTCTGGTAGGTGACGGTGGCCTGTTTGGGTTCCTCCAGCGTGTAGCTGCCCTCGTCCTTCTTCTTCATCCGGTACACCAGCAGCATCACCAGGAAGGCGGCGAACAAGGCCCCGACCACACCTCCCACTATCACAGCTGCAGAGAAACAGAAAAGCAGTGTCAATACTTTCAGTTTTATCTGGGACCCACATGGAAAAAGCAGACAGACCAGCGTGGGTCGGACTGTTTCTCACCATATGGTTCCTGCATGCATGACTCTGGATGTTTATCACTCTCTGGAGAACAACCAGAAAATACACAAATATGCGGGGTTTTTTAAAGAGCAGTAAACCTGCAGGAAAGTTACACCTAAAGCAGACTCCGTGTCAGGTTTAGTCAAAACAACAGGAGCAACAAGAATCCAGTCATCTCTAATAGCTTCTCAGAGAGATGGAAAAAAGTGCACCATGGATGTGGCTCAGCATGAGCGCTGCTCATTAGGATGAAACAATTTGACAATTCCACAGCTCACGGTCTGTGTTGGGTGGTTAGCAACCACGAAAACCACTGTTTCAGAAGTGCAACAGGACGAACATTTCAAATGGACTTCTCTCTCAGCTTATCAATTATCTAGGTCGGAGTGTGTGCTTGTGTTGACCCAGCAAACCTAAAACTGAACAGTTGGTGTAAATAGGACAAAACAAAAATTTTGCCTTTGGTTATAAAACAAAAAAGAGCATTTGGAGAAAAAATTGGGAAAAATTCACTTTGCAGTTTACTGCTGCTGTGGAGATCCATGATAAAGGGAGAAGAAATATATAAAAATACACACACATATATAAAATATATAACTATGTGTAAACACATAGATGCATTCACAAACACATATATAAAATATATACAGTAACTATGTGTAAACACATAGATGCATTCAAACATATATATGCATATGCATATATATACATAAGAGTTATGGTAGAAAGTCACAGATGATCAATGATGAATTTTCAAGACGATGATGATGCGACAAACTCTCCTCTGTAGAAATGTGATTTTTTTTTTCTTCGTCACCATCTGTGTGTTTTCTGGTTGTATCTCGATAAAGACAGGTATAAAACAACAAGCCACAACAGGGCGGTATCAGACAGCAGACGGAGACACGTAAACACTGAAATACTACCCTTCTACTCTGTGACAGTCTACGTCTCTGCGAACACGGAGCGTTGAGAACAACCTACAGGAAATCTACTCCAGCGTCGCCATCGCCTCGCTGCTAAGCCAGGACTGATGAGCCTCACTGTGCCAACGTGCGTTCTGTGGCGCCGGTGGCGTTGTGCTAAACTGCAGCCCTGCAGTGTTACACAGCAGATTGGCCCGGTGGGGCCGGTGTTACTGGTGTAACTGGTGTAACCTACGCACAGCTGCGTTCATCCACCTTTCACTGCACACACCGTTAATGAACTCTGGCGTTGTGCAGTGGATTAATGTGTGGTTATCAAATGAGGGAAAAAATCTTTCCCTTGTTAGAGGAATGGGCGCTGATGCCAAAACAGAGAACAAACTGTTATTTTCTAAATGCTCGAGGAGGCTTTTGTTTCCACTGGCTGTGTGGGAGGTGTTTACTTTGTTTATTCCATTAAGCATGGTAATGCACAAGCTGGCGCCTTTGAAACAATATGCGCTGTTATGTACAGACAACTGCAGCGTACACATGCTACACATTAACATGTACGGCTATTATCTGTCTTTTTAATACGGGGGAGACGTCACTTATTTAAATACGTCGTTAATCTCACTGCCGTCATCTGCTGCATCAATAAAGTCATTAAAGAAAAGGTCCAATTCTATAAATGAGGAAGAGAAATAATAACGCTTCCCATCAGCCTCAGCTAATTTGTGAATAGTGCTAATTTATACTCCGTGCCACAATAGGATCAACAGGAAAACTGTGTGTGCTCTACAGTACATCATAATTGCAGCACAGGCGCTGTGTGGAGGCTGCCAGGCTCCACGTGCTAAAATTAGTCCTTAACTGAGTAAACTTCTCTGTGATTGGCCCGTCACACTCCCACATCATCTGCCATATTAGTCCAGTTCTGATTGTAAATGAACAGTTCATTGTTTTAGATGGAAATGTTGTTTCACTGTGTTGACTGTGGAAGTCACACTTGGTTACTGCTGTGGAGAATGTTCCAGATGAATCAGGGTGGAGGGAACGCATTTCCAAGTAAAGTTTAGCCGAGCTGCAAATACAGATGTACTTTTTGTCTTGATCAGGGGAGTTGAAGTCGTATTTTTTATGTGCGTAAATATCGCCTGTGTGTGTGTGTGTCGAAAACGCTGACGATGTCATTTCATGTGGACCACCAGAACCGCTGTATGACTCTGTATGATCCCGACATGTTTGTTGTTTCTACGACACAGACTAATCTAATCTAATCTAAAGTCCACCGCCTCCTGCTCTTTACCGATGACCAGGAAATCGGCGAAAGCCACCGCCAGCATTACACCAATCAGAACAGCTGGAGGAGAGACAGAGAGCCAGTCAGGTCAGACAAGTTTACTGCTCCGGCACATCCTACAAAAGCTCTTTGGGATCAGAAGAGGGGGCACTTGAGAAGAAATTGGCTTTACCCAGAGGGAAGTGATGAGAAAAGGACGTGTGAGGGGGAGGGGGAGGGGGGGGGGGGACGCGGACAACCTGAGAGGAGGACGGCTCCTTCTCAGTGGGTCAAACAGGGCTAAGCAGCAAATGATGAATGCGCACTATGTAAATGTGAAGTAACACCGTTTTATCACTGGAGCTCGTGTGGAAGCTAAGAATGAATAGAGAGGCAACAGGAAAATAAGCTGCCAGTCCACGGGACCATCACAAAGGAAGGTTTATTTAAAGAAAGATAAGAGACAGAAGCAGACAGACACACACGGTGAGACAGACGCAGAGCTCAACGTTGTGGGAAACGAATTCAGACAAAGTGACAAAACAAACAAAGAATAAGAAAAACTCACATTCATCCTGCTAATGGGAGAAATTCTCACCTATCAAGACCTCTTTTCTCTCCAGAATGTTCTTCTGCGGCAGCTGGGCGGCCGAGCTCCCCACGTCCACCGTGTTTCCCACCAAATCCGGATCAGACCCGGGCATCAGACCTCGGCCCAGATCGTTGTGTCGGTCGTCGTGGATCTCAAAGTCTCCACTTGGTCCTGCAGCTCCCACCTCGTTGTTGCCCTCCTGAGGCAAACAAAAAAAAAAACAGAGAGAAACCTCAGACTAACGATTGGAAAAAAACTAACATGAGATGTAATGACATGTTCATGGAACTCTCATGGTGAAACCTGACTTTTCCATGGCGCCCGTGCCCTCGTCCAAACAATAAGCCTCTGTATGTTCTGCCCACTATTCTCCAATGAATATACACATTTTATAAAAGCTGGCAGAGCAACGACTGTGTGGCAGAGTGGGCCAATTAAAAGGAGAAGAGAAGATGTAAATAAATTCCAACCCAGCTCATGACAGACTGTACGCCTGAGTCTTTAGTTCAGCTCAGCTCTTGGTTTCTAACTTAATGAGCCACTTTTTTAAAATTAATTTTTGATTATTTTATTTTGTTGGATTTTTAACTTCACAGTAAATGAGTTGATAGCAGCTTCACACTAAACTCTACAAATCAGAGCTATTCAATCATAAAGTTAATAAGGCCAGACATCCAACTAATACATTCAGACAAAAACCTAAATGTAACACATCGCTTTGAAGCCTGGACTTTGTGGAAAAAAATCATCTGTTGAGATCCGTGCAAAACCAAACTGACAATGTTCACGTCATTTTAGATTTCTTCTATGAGAGGGACATGTTGATCTGATTACAACAACTTCACACTAGTCATGCACCCTAGGTTGCATGTTGCTAGGCTACAGATAGTGGTCCACTCTACTGTAGCAATTTTTGCTAACACACCCATTATTGTTCTCTTCCATAATGAACACAGACTGGGCCTCTCTGAGGCTGTGTTTGGGCCACGTGTGGCCCACGGGTCACATTTTGAACACAGATACCTCAAAATGATTTGAAAATATCCTCCTCCTCATCATCCGAAGCCCCCCCCCCCCGCCTACATCAACACTCTGCTCTGAGGAGCAGTCCAGCTGAGGTCACTGGGTCACACGTGAGCGTCTGCTGCTAATGAACCTTTTAATGCAGCTGGTCAGCTGAGGCGCTGCCATTAGCTGCTCATATGAGCCAAGACGGCAGATTCTGATGAGATTTTACAGCTACCTGATTGCTCTCACCGCGTCGAATGGATCGGTCAGGTAATAATAACAGCGCTAATAAATCCAAACAGCAAACCTCAGCAGAATTTAACCGCCCCGGCGTTTGCTCCTGATTGGTCAGATAACATCTCTAGGAAAAAGGTGTTTGGGTTGGAATTAGTTCAACCACTAGGGTGAGCTCTACATGGAACTGAACCGTGGGCCAAACACACACACTAGCTGCTCTCCAGCAGCCAGTGTCATGCTCTGTCATTGTGTTGTGTAATCACCCTACATTAATCCTATTAAATACACAGTGTTTCCCTGTTTCTCCACTGTTGACTAAGGCTCACAGACAAAACTGTTGAAAGAGACAAAACCATAAAACCATAAAACCAACATCCACCAACGACTTCTTTAAAAAAAAAAAAAAAACTCCCTGTTCTGTTTCTCTTCAGAGTTTTGTTTTGCCAAGTTAAGCTGATTGATTCCAGGCTTAAGTTTCGTAATGAACTGGCAGATATCAGAGTGGTATTGATCTCCTCGTCTCACTCCTAATGAGCAAACTGAGCATTTCCTGTAGGTGAATGTTAAAATACCTGAAAGGGGGGTTTTGTTACATGTGTTTATTTGATTTGAAACCAGAGCCAGAACAGAAGTGTGAACGGAACAAAAACATATGTTTGTTTCAGTCAGAGGGAGGCGCTGTTGGTGGGCTCCTACCTGTGTAGTGGTGGGCTGCTGTGGGCGTGTGGTTCTCTCCGTGGGTGTGGCCTGAGTGGCTCCGGTCATGGGGACTCTGGGTCTAAAGGGAACCCTGGTCTTTACAGTCGTAGAGGTGGTGGGTGGTGGCGCTGTTGTGGTTTCGATTGTAGTCTCTAAAGTGGTCGTAGTGTCTTCTTCTGTGGTGGTTTCCAAGTCAATGTCTGGCTTAACTGAGGTTGGCTCAGGAGAGAGGTACACGTCCTGTTCTTCATATTCTTCTTCCGCCTCCTCAGTGGCACCCAAGTCGTCCCATCCAGCAGGGGGCACTGTAGCTTCTGTGGTACTGGCAGCAGTGTTGGTGGTCAACTCTGGCAGTGCAGTGGTGGGCGCAGCGGTGGTGGTGCGGGCAGCTGCGGCGGCCCTGATCCTCTCTAGCTCCCTCTCTCTTTCGAGTTCGCGCTCTCGCTGCCTCTCCCGCTCTCGCTCCCGTTCTTTCTCACGTTCTCGCTCCCGTTCGCGCTCTCGCTCCCTCTCCCTCTCTCGCTCGCGCTCCCTTTCTCTCTCCAGCTCCCTCACCCGTTCCCGCTCCCTTTCCCTCTCAAACTCTTTAATCCTCTCCCTCTCCAGTTCCTTCTGCCTCTCTCGCTCCTTTTCTTGCTCCTGCTCCCAGAATGCACTGCTTTCGCCATCTGCCTCTGTGGGCAGCGGTGGAATGGTGGCGGGTTCTTCGGGACTCGGGCTGGGCTCGGCCGCAGGTGAGGCGGCGGGGGCGGGACTGGTGGCCTGAGTGGTGGAGAGAACGATGGGCTCCTCCGTAGTGAAGGAGACGGCCACAGATGTCGGCCTCACGCTGATCTCAGGGTCTGATGTTGAGACGAGAGAAGGAAAGAAAAACTAATGTTTAACACACACTTCACAGTGAATCTAAATTTGTCTTTTCACTTCATAAAATTGCTTATTTTGTAGCAGCTGCAGTGATGTTCAAACACATGATCCTTCTGTACCAACACGGCCTGGCAGGAAGTCGCAGATGTGAGGTTTGGAACCACGGAGGTTCTGTTTCAGTGTTTCTGTGTAAACAGCAGAGCCACGGTGCAGCAGTGAGGGCCACAGGTATGAAGACAGTCAAAGCCCCTACCACTAGGATGTGTGTTAATGTAGAGGAATAAAAAGGGACAAAGACGTGGGAGTAAAGACACGAGGTCAAGATTTTCATCAAGACTAACCAGAATAATCCTGTTGGAGGAACAGAGACACGGTTGAAATGTGACGAAGAGAGATAGTGTATGAACCGGACGAAGGATGTCAGAGACGGAGCTGCCAGGCAGCAGGAGAGGAAGTGAAGAGAGATGTGAAGATGGTTGGTGCTGAGGAAGAACTGTGACTTGATGTGGAAACCCATGATTGGATAAATAGAAGGTGAATAGAGAAGCAAACTGTCTGCTGAAGCTCTGTCTTATGGTTGGGGTGAAATCTGCAGTCCATTAAATCATTGATTTGTTAAAGATCGGACATTAGTACTGAGGAAATCACGGTCCAGTCGCTGCCTCCTCCTGTTAGTTCACCACTGCTGTCTCACTCAGCCTGTGCTACAGTACAGTCCTGCTATGGTGTGTGTGTGTGTGTTCACAGGCTGACAGAATCTGGCCTTTGTGAAAGTTTCTGACGCCAATGCCAAAAGTCGATGTGTGGTTCAGTGGGCAGCAACTACAAATGTCCAGCTTTGTTACTGACCAACAGAGGTGGACAGAGTTAGCATTTCAACTTGAACAGTTTTCAAGAGGTGTGAGGTTTTAAAGAGTTGAAGAGGAGGACGACGGAGCATATACTGCATTATAATCCTTTAAGCCTCGGCTAATGCTGATGCTAAAGCATATTCTTCCAGAATGCAGACAGTGAACGCTGCATTCAGTCCACTATATAGAATAAAGGGGATTACCCTGTGTGTGTGTGTGTGTGTGTGTGTACCTGGTACTTTACATCAAGGACTGCACTGATGATACTTAGTGCCTTGTGCAGTACTTTCACAGATTCTCAACAAGTGTTTGGATTGGAAAGAGTCACAGAATCATTTCAATGTCAGATGACATCTGTGTATCTGAGTCTCAGACCTGGGTTAAACTGGTAATCTAAGCTGTGACGAAGGAATTACAGCAGATTTCAAATGGTCAACACACTCATCACACACTCTGAGGGAAACAACTTTTTGTCTCGCGGCGACAAATCGTTCCCATCACGATCAGATGTTTTTAAATGTCAATGCTCCCAATAAACGCCGTTGATTTTGTTTTGCCAATTGTCTGTGATGTAATAACGCAGTAATTTTAATCGACTCCACGCCGCAATCAGTGCCGCAATCAAGTCATTACTCTTTTGACATTTGGTTGTCTGACAACGGAACGAGTGAGTGTGGCTTACAAAGGTGATTTAATTGTACGTCTGGTTGGACAACAGGAAGAAGGATTTAATCAGGGTTTGATTTGTGTTTACTTTGGTGTAGAGCACAGAGCAGAAAATGACCAGGAACTGATGTTGTGGGAGCACGAGGAGGAGAAAACAAGAGGAGAGGGCAGCAGAGGAGAGGAGCGGAAATGATACGTCAGAAATGCAGCAGAATGGATGGGAGAGAAGGAAAGAGGAGAAGGATGAAGGACAGGAGAGGAGGAGAGAGGAAAACAGATGACAGGAGAGAGGAGATGAGAGAAAAATGAAAAATGAGGAAAAGACATGTGCGGGAAGAGAAGAGGAGGATGAAGGAGAGGAGAGGGTGTTGCTGAGTAATTCATTTCCTTTCCTAAAGCCCACAAACGTATTAGCACCTTTCATTTCATCCAGCCTGTGAAGCAAATTGAATTTGCAGACACAAAGGCACGGGGAGCTGACAGAGGTGCTGAGGAGGACATCAGAATATGGCCTGGAACAATGCAGCTACTGTTAAACATCAGACGTCACTAAACGCTGCCCCCACCATCACCCCACCCCCTCCGAAGCTGCACTGCCACAGAATGCACAGCCGTCTGTTGAAAATGAGCCTTTCCTATGGAATCAGATGAGTCTGTGCCACAGTTTGAGACAAAGCAATTTACTGGGTTGCAGTTTTGACCACAGGGGTGCCAGCGCCTCACTCTGCTGCTCTGAATCCCATTTTATTTTCAGCCTGTGCTCTGCTGGCGCAGCGCCTGAACCCAGGGCAGCCCTCAATGAGTCACGCTTAATAAGGAGAGCTGCGCTCGGGCTTCGACGGCCAGATCAGAAAATCAACCTGAATTACACCAACGTGATTCACGTTAAGTCGGTAATTCCCGCACATGCAGGCGGTCGGCTCACTCAGGCACAGGCAGGTGCACGCAGCCCGCTGTGTGGATGCGTGAGATCCACTAATCTGTGTGGCCTGTAATCTGATTACAGTAAATAAGATGGGGCAGAATAAGGCCGGGGGCAGAATAAGGCCGGGGGCAGAATAAGGCCGGGGCAGCATGTGGTGTTCTTCATAAATGTGCACCAGTGGGGGGGGGGGGGAGATGTGTCTATGTGTGGGGG